TGTCTGTTTTTAGTTTGCTGGATTGTATTTTAGGTCATGCGGCACCTGCTTGGATATTTTCCTTTTTATTGTTGAACAAAACAACAAGATATTTTACGAACAATTGATGCTCTTCTAACCAAATCCCTATTTTGACTACTGATGGTCTAAGTATTTTCCTCTAGATTGATCATTTATAATATAGAGGGCCTCAATGGGAATCGAGCCCATAACTTCTGATCTGGAGTCATATGTGATACCATTACACCATAAGGTCTTCTATGAATTCCTACGATTAAAATTTTAATTTATTTTTAATACATCATCTTTTCCAAACAAGTATAATGTTTTGATTGTCAGTATATACTCGTTCAATAGAAACACCCGTCACTTGAAACAATAGAGGACCGTGTTCTGCATAATTGTCGAGTCAATCACGCGAATCTCCTACTAGATATCAAGACCACGATCTACTCTTTCTCAGTTTTACAAAACAAACCGTCCAATTTAAAATAATAATTAGTGCAAATTTCTTATTCATTAACGAGTTCAGCCAGGTGTGGATTTTCAGGCCAGGTACATGCCAATAGCCGATAGCTTGATAGCTGATAGCCTAGCTCTATATATAGTGTAGATTCTAGTGTAGATAGTAGATCTAGTATAGGTTCTAGTGTAGATTCTAGTGTAGATAGTAGATCTAGTATATATTCTAGTGTAGATTCTAGTGTAGATTGACATCCACCCCACATCCACCCCACATCGACCTCTCATCGACCCCACATCGACCTTTCATTGACCCCACATCGACCTCTCATCGACCCCACATAGACCCAACCTCGACCTCTCATCGACCCCACATCGACCCCACATCGAACCTACATCGTCCTTGCACCGACCCCACATCGCCCAACACACGTCGTCCAAAGATCTTTAAATTAGTTAAACACTATATACTCCACCATTTACGATTGAACCTTCGAAGTGTCAACATGCCCTACAAGCATAAAAGAGACTGTCCTGTCTGTAACAAGTTTATGAGTGATCATTTACGTCAAGTACATAACCTATATGGGGAAGAGAGGAAAAAGTGGTTAGGAAGGGCAAGGTTCTCACTACTACAAAACCACATCTCGAGTTTGCTACCGGCACGAGCAGCACGTAGTCTAAAAGAAATCAGATGCATTCGAAAGAAAACAAGTGCCAGTCCTATACTAAAATATACGAAAACACCAAAAGTATCGCTGTCTTTGACTACTGCACCCTGTCCAGATTTCAACTTCCGTCATAAATTTCCCAGAAAAACGAATTTTTATGAATAATTAGAAACTTTTATTAGGATTAAACTTTGAAGTAAAATCTCAAAAATAGATCGTCCCGATTGCGTTGGTATGGTGCAATCCAGCAAACTAAAAAATAGATATGGCTGACCACCCCTCCATCTACGGAACCTCACGGCACCTCACCTATAGAATAGCTATGACGTCGACGTTATTACGGGCCCGGAGTAGGGTCTGGAGGAGAGCACCGATTCGCACCGGTGGCACCGGGCGTAGAACTCTCATTTCATATCTACTTCTTATCGATTTTTCAGATCGTCAACTTTACCGATCCCTACTTTTCACCTCCATCGATTGTCCTCACTCCAAGTCATGAATACGACAGCAGTAATGTGAACGCTGTGCCACCAGAACACAACTCCATTGTAGCCTGGAACGAGGTACTAAGAATTCAGTTGCCGAAGGCTAAGTGAATATCAGTGAATATTTGCCGATAATCAATTCGCCTTCGGTGAAAAATTGTTACATATTCCTTACTTAAAATATAATAGCCCTGTGCGACGAATGTTCATTTTCATAGCTTATTAATGATGGAGGTCCTGTTGAATGGGTGGAAAAGATCATAAGTATAAAGTATGATGTGTTATTTTTCAAAACATATAGGTCAGAAATCATTTAATGTATTCACTTCCTTATTTCATAGGAAATAACGAGGACTTACTTTAGAGCTTGCGTGAAGGATTTGGTTGGTTTGAATACCAAGCATCATCCAATTACTGTTGACTACCTGGTATTTGGTGGTAATAACTGCTTTTTTTTTTTGCACTCGTAATAGTCAAAAAAAAAATTTTTGCACTCTTAATAATGCTAATGCTAATGCTAATGCTAATGCTAATGCTAATGCTAATGCTAATGCTAATGC